GTAAGGCCCAAAAACCCGCGGAGCTGTTGCGCGGTCATGGGGGTAGGTCACTCCACCATGGTCGAGATCTTGGCCTTATCAGCGTCTAGTTCGCCCGCGGTGATAATATGCCCGAGGTACTCGATGGAGCACTGTCCCAATGAACATTTGGATCATTTCACACAAAATACCCGTGCCTGTAGTGCCGCGAGAATGGTGCGGAGATGATCGCGGTGAAACTCCAGGGACGAACTATATATGAGAATGTCATCAAAGAAGACCAAGACAAATTTCCGTATGTATGGCGCAAAGAGATGGTTCATACACGCCTAAAATGTAGATGGCGCATTGGTGAGGCCAAAAGGCATGACGAGAAACTCGTAGTGGCCCTCATGAGTTCGGAATGCCGTCTTGTAAATATCCTTATCCGCCATACGGATCTGGTGGTACCCGGAGCGTAGATCCAATTTGGTGAAGTACCGGGCATGTGTCAACTCATCAAATAATTCATCCGCCGTCGGAATAGGGAAATGGTCCGGCACGGTAATGGCATTCAAAGCACAGTAGTCCACGAAAAACGAAACAAACCGTTTTTTTTCTTCACCAAAAGGACCGGGGAGGAGAATGGGCTGCGGCTAGGCCGGATGAATCCATTGGCCAACATCTCACGTACCAAATGCTCGATTTCCCCTTTTTGATAGTGTGGATACCTATACGGCCGAACATTGATAGGAAAACTCCCCGGTTGTAGAAAAATAAGGTGGTCATGGGTGCGGTGGGGTGGCAGTACGGAGGGGCTATCAAAGAGGGATTTGTAAGCCTCCAAAATGTCGACCAGGGCTGCGGGAATGGGGGGTCGGCTGATGGTTCCAACCCTGCTGCGGATCCCTCATGTGACACTGGCAGTAACTCATAGAAAGCAACCACCTCATGTGATGACCACAAGGCTTTAAACATGGAGAGGGAAACCGGCCGGGGCATGGTGTCGCCCTATAACTGCACTTGCTTGCCGTCCCAAGTGAAAGCCAAGGTGAGATTAGCATAATCCTGCGCGACTTTCCCTAGCTGTTGTAAACATTGGATGCCCAAAACCAAATCTTGTCCGTGAATCTGCAAAACAAACAAATCAACCAAGAATCGATGTGATTGCAAAAGGAGTGGTATCCCCGGACATTGAGACATGCAAGGTAAGGCATCCCCGTTTCCCATATAAACCCGAAACTAATTGATTGCGATAAGTGGGAGTTGCAATCGCGCCACCACCTCGGGGTGAATGAAGTTATGGGTACTACCCCCGTCGATGAGGAAATGAAGGTCATGAGTCCCCACCCGGCCAGACATTTGCAACGCTCGCGGTGGTTGTAGTCTTGAGAAGTTATTGAGACTGGATATGTCGGCAGTGACCACCAATTCATCGGCAAGCGCGAAGGTGGGCGACTCGTCCTCATCATCGTCGCCACAGATAAGTAGGAAACGCCCGCATTTGTGACCGCGGGACCACCGTTGATCATAATTATAGCATAAACCCTTGGCATCCTTAGCTTCTTTTTCGGCTGGGGTCAGGCGTGGGATGTGGCTGGGCAGCAGGTTGGGCTAGGGTTTCGGTGGCGTGGGCAAGAGTGGGGTCGTAGGGGCCGCGCGCAAACCCTGAGGCATGACCTTGGGAAAACCACCACTAGACTGCAAGTACGGCCGTTGTTGCACCACTTGGACCAAGGTAGCATGTTTCGCCTCGAGCTCCCGGGCCAATACAAAAGAATCGGCCAAGGTTTGTTGTTTCTGCAAGGCAATTTCATGCTGGAGGTGATGCTTCAGGCCTGCATGAAAAAGATCTGATAAGAATTCTTCATTCGCACCAGTGACATGTTGCAACACCCGCTCGAACTCCTCCTAGTACTCCATCACTGTACCCCGTTGCCGTAGCTTCGCAAGTTTGCCAAAGTAATCCACGTATTGGTTGGGATCAAAACGAAGTTTAAATTTAGTAACAAAATCATCCTACTCATCAATCATCTTTTTCTCCATGTGCCAATGAAACAAATCGGCCGCCGGCCCTTCCAACATAAGCGTGACACAGCGAAGCCGCTCGTCCGGAGGGGTATCATAGAATTCAAAATACTCCTTCACCTTATATAGCCAACGCAGAGGTTCGGTACCGTCACACTTGGGGGTTTCCAGTTTTGGCTTTGGTGTATACGACGAGGGTCCTCGATTGGCAGACTCCCCATGTCCCGTGTTACGCCAACCGGGTGGTGGGGCTCCGCCAGATCCCGTGGCCATCAGAGCTTCCACACGGGCATATTGACTGTCAATTTTGGACGTCTAGAACGCCAACCGCGTCTCCAATTCGCGATGCAACTGTGTAGTTGTTTCGCGGAAAGAGTCCTTCAACTCTTGAAAACGCGTGTCCAACGCCGCTAATTGGTCGATGAGAGTTTGTTCGGCAGCTATGAGACTCAACAAGAGCACGCACCAATGATACGAACGTATCAGTAGGGGTGACTTCGAGTGTCACCAAACTCCGGAAAAGGGGGAGGCGCAGAGGAGCTAGAAGATTGCACGAAGGCGCAGGAGGCAAAGGAGATAGATTAGGGTTTGTATTATTTGATAGATGAAATCCTTCGTAGGGTTTGCACCCTATTTATAACAAAACTCATACCCTAAAACTATATTATCTAACCTGACGGTTCAAAGAAAAGCGACGAGGTAAAGAACCGTAAAAAAAACCCTCGAAAGAGCTTATATTTTGCTCACCTAATAAAATCTACGTTACATAAAATAATATGAATAATAATAAAATAACAGTCATGCCTCATGCAATAAAATCCTCGTGGCAAGCGGGAGGACGCCGGGTACGGCACCCCGTCATACCGTCACCTCCCTCCCTTCATTAACTGTCGCAGGCTCTCCGAAGTCCACGTCCTCCGTACCTTCCTCGTCCACACGGTCGCTACTCGTATCAATGAACCAACGGCGAAAATTGAGCCAGCGAAATCCGGCGAGGAATCTGGTGTCGAGCCTCTGCTCCGGCAAGAATAGCAGCGGCAGCGTCTAGACGGCAGACCAGTGACGGCGTCTGGGCAGTACTCCGGCAATATCTGCGATTGTGGTGACGGAGTGTTGGCCATGAACAGATCAAATTTGTGACAGTCATTGTTGATAAAATTCACGTGCAGGTGTTCATCAAAGTCCAGAAGTCAAGGGTTTACTTCTAGCGCTTTCAGGTCAAGTTCAAGAGAAGAAGAGGTCTGAACTTTGAATAGACCTTTGAAATCAGATTTAGCTTCGTCAATGGGTTTCTTTCTGTTAGATCTCTCATGTTTCTGTGTTTTGTGCAGAGGGAAAGACATATTATAGAGCTAGGACTCGGCTGATCAATCAGGACAAGAACAAATACAACACCCCAAAATACCGCCTTGTTCAATTTGTATGTGCTACAACTTTTTGGTTTATTTAACTACTGTGACTTTTTTCAGTTTGTGGTGTTCATCTTGAGTCTTTTCAATTTTCTCATTTTGTTTATGTTCATTTACTCCATTTTTATTGTCTATTAACACTATGTTTGGTTCAAGGAATTTGGTAGGAAAAGAAAAGAAAATAGTTTTCCCTGTTTTCTTCACCAAAATGGGAGAAATTTTGTTTTCATTTCCCTTAGCACATCTTGCCTTCTATTTTTTTCCTTCCACTTTTCTTTTCTTTTCCTTTCTAACCAAACAAGAAAAAATATTTTCCTTCTCATTTTCTTTTTTTTTCCGTGTAAATGTTTTTCTGATGTCTGTCTACACATTTCTTGTACTTCACACAAAATAATTCTCATGTTTTTGTTATAGTAAGAACAAAAAAGGTTGTGTGGTAACTTATCGCTTCAATAAAAATACAAATATAAATTGATAAAATCTATTCACTTGTATAGGTTTGTTGTTGTTGGAATTTTTGGCATTTTTAATAGGCATTAAATAGACCAACTTCGGTATATTTGTCAATAGGTCCACTAACGGTTTTAACCGTTAATTAATGGACGTGTATTCTCTTAAATGAGATAAATATTTTGATAATTTATACGCCAAAAATGGTAGAGGGTAAATGAGAAATTGATTCTCAGATGAACTGTTGAGTAGAAGAAAATATTTATTATTTTCAAATTTCTACGACCTGTTTTACACCCGTACGTTTGTTCTAATTAGTTCCAATTTCGGAGTTAACTGGTCATTAATCTCCAATTTATAGGAACAAAATTTAAACTAACGTGTATGCCAACAGTTGGTAACAATGAACATAAATTATATAATCATTGTGATTATTAATGAGTGTCATTATGCTCATGATAAATAATTGGTCCGTTTCCATTCTTAAAAAATTGAAGACACGTGTTAATTGTATTAAATGTGAAATGGCTTTCAATCTTCTTGTTTTTGATATATACGTACAAGAAGAGGAAAAAGAGAGATTGCCTATAGTGATTAAAGTTTTTTTTTGTTTTCCCTCTTGGCTTTCACGAACAAGAAAGGAAAAAGGAGAAAAAAAAACTTTGTGAGTACAAAAGCTCTAGTTTTTTGCCAAAGTTTCAAGCCATTCTCTTCAACGTTTTTTTTAGTCGGCAATACTCCGACGTTGTTCTTGTTCGTTGGTGTGTAGTCGGTCCGTACAACCACTACACACGATAGCGGTTTTATCCTGGGGGAAAGTGCCCACGTTCTCTAGTACGGTAGGCGGGCACTATTACCTTAAGTACAGCTCCGGCGACTCCGCTGCCTTTCTACAGTGTTCTATTTTGCAGATTTTGTTCTCGAGTTCTACGTCTTAGTTCGCTGTTTTTTTTAGTGCACAAAGTCCTCATTGTCAAAGAAGGCCTTTGAAGATCGGAAGCTAATTTTATTTTATTTATTGTAAGTAATCCGAATAAAATTATAAATTCGGATTATTTTATTTCTTTTAGTTTCCGGGACCGTTCCTCTTTCCCGTCTATTGTAATCCGTACGATCATTTCTAACGATCTTAAGGTAATAGTCATATCTGTGCGCAATGGCGGGTATGGACGGATTCGGTTTTGACGCTCACACCGGAAACGAGAGTAGTTCCGAGACTCCGGTTGTGAACGTTTCGGCTGGATTGGGTGGCTCTGTTGGGCAGACCACTCCGATCAACGTTCCCTTTTGATCGAGTGCGGCCATGGGGTCCACTCCGATCACCACCTTTGTTGGATCGAGCGCGACTATGGGGTCCGCTCTGTTCACCTCGGTTATTGGACCAACCACGGCTACGGCCGCAATGGTCACCCCACTCGGACCGAATATGGCTTCGACCATACCGGCCATTCCCTCACTTGGACCGAACACGGGTGTCTTCACATCAGCACCGGTCGAACATCCTACTGTCATGCTGCCTGCGAACTCTGTCAACCTTGCGAGGTACTTGAGGGAGGATCCCCCTGTTGTGGGGGAGAATGTGGACGAGCCAACAATTCAGGCTAAAGAGCTACTACAAGAAAATTTGTATTTCACCACACTTATTTTATCACACATAATTATGTGTGGCAAATATTTAATGTGTATTTAACTTTTTCACATTTTTAAGTGTTGGCATAAAAAAACACAACCCAAACCCAATACATGCCCAAAGATCTAAACCCAAACAACCAAACCCAATACATAACCTAAAATCTAACCCATGTGTACATGACCACAATCTCCGATCCTTCATCTCTCATCCTTGACGCCAATTCTTCATCTCTCATCCTTCAGTAACTAATTCGATCTTCATCTCCTTCCGATGCCAGAACCGGGAGGGAGACGGTGTATGGGCTGGGAAATTAGCGAGTAGATGTGAGAATCCGATTTGGTGATTCGTGGCTGGAATTTGGAAGAAATGAAGCTCAAAATTAGCGTAACTATTGTTCATCCACGATGTTGCAGGTCTGATTTTTTCATTCTTACTGTTGATTTCAACCATAAGATTGATGTATTTAGAGCGGGGAACATTGCCTAACCACAATCTAGGGTTTGTTGAACATGAATTGTGAGTTTTGGGTGTAATTGGAGTCTTTGAGCACTGTTCATAGCGAGAGACATACACTGGAGGTTCTCCATTTCAATTCCTCTTTCTGGTGCCATTTGTAGGCGAATCCCAAAGGTGATTTTCAGCTCTTCTTCTTCACTTTGGTGGCCTATAATCTGAAATTTGTTGGTGCTTGTGTTGGTATTTTCTTGTTGTGCTTGCTGCCCTTTTTGTTGTGAGTTTTTTAAGTTTGGGTCTGGTTCTTTTGTGTTGTGGTTATGGGACATAATAATAAGAATAAGATTAGCAAAAATCAGAACCAAAACATCAAAAATTTTGTCTTTGATGGTACACCAATTAGTGAAGGAAAAACATGCAGGATTGATGGCATAAACAGTGATAAACACCAGACTGCATGTTTACTCTCCTCTATTGAAATTGTGCAGACCTCAGCTTCTTCCTCAACAGATGTTAGTGTCACATTGAACTCTCTTGATGCCATTGCTACTGAGGACAACTCCTTGGGTATGGTTCTTTTCTTAGTTTATACGTAATGTTTTCTCCATTGTTCGTTGATCGCATCATGTTTAGTCTGATTCTAGGACATTTTGTATGTACTAAAGATTTCGCAAAATTGAAATTGAATATTTGATTACATATCTTTTGAAACTGGATTCAATCTTACTCTTGATTGACTGCTTCAAATAAATATTGAAATATTGAAATTGTTGAATGTGGAGGGTGAATTCTTGGCAAGCCTGTTACGGTATCTGCCCAGAGTTTCTGCCATTGAAGACTTCTTGTTCCTGCTACTGTTTTGAAGGCCACTGGAATGGACTTGTTGCTGCCCAACTTTTGCTGACCTTTGCTGATTATCTCCGTTGGAAATTGGAGTCCAAATGGCATTGTGGCGCTGCTAGGTCGGGTTCCAAGGAGTTGTTTTCAATGCTGAAGCAATGCCATGATTTCGGAAGGCCATGAACTGCATTTCCACTGCAATTGCAACTGGTTTCAGGGCAGTTTTGGGCGCTCTTATCTCTGGTTTTTGTGTGAGCTGAGGACACGATGCTGATGGTTTTGAAGGCTGTTGGAGTGGCTTTGCTGTGGTATACCGGAACTGATTTCAATTTGATTGTGACCTTGCGTATGGACTGGAATAGCAGGTCGTGTTGCCCATTAACTTGTTTTAGGCAGTAAGTTCAAACCATAGTGAGTGGTTTATAAACACCTGCTGAAATTTGAACATTCATTGATAAACACCTGCTGAAATTCCAGAGGTACCAATTATTTGTATCAAGTTTTGACATTGTTATACTATTTGAGCTATTTTCTTAGTCTATTAGCTCAATGGTAGAGCATTGTGTGCAAAAGTACATGAAGATGTGGGTTCGAGTCCCACATAGGCTTTTTTATGAATTTCAAATATTAAAAAATACGGAGTAATTGTTATTTTATATGTGTGGTGTCTTAAAAACATATATAAATGTGGCAAAATAAAGCATTGGCCACATATATAAGTGTGGCTAATGTATTTATTAGCCGCACTTATTAAAAGTGTGGTGAAATTTTCCCCACAGTGTCACCCGCCACACTTACTCATGTGCGGCAAATAGTCTCCCCCACACTTATATGTGCGGCGAAGAACAATTGTAAGTGTGGCGAAATACCATTTTTCTTGTAGTAGTCATGGATAGCGAATAACTATACGTGCCTTAACCTTATCCTGAATTGCTTAAGCGGTGCCTTATATGCTGTTTATAGCAGGGCTACATCTGCAAAGGAGTTATGGACTACACTGTCCAACAAATACCAGGCCGAGGACGCCGGTGCGAAGAAATTCGTTGTCGGTAAGGTCTTGGATTTTAAGATGGTGGATTCCAAACCTGTGGTCAGTCAAGCTGAAGAATTGATTCTCATTTTTAATGAGTGGACTAATGAGGGAATGGGAGTCAGTGAGGCATTCCAAGTGGCGGCAATTATTCATGTGCTCCCGCCAACTTAGGATGAGTTCCAGAGCTATCTCAAGCTCAAACGGAAAGAGATGACTTTAGAACAGTTACTTGTTCGTCTCCAGATCCGTGAGGAGGGTCTCACTCGTGAGAAGAAAGTAGTTGTTGCTAAGGCCAATGTGGTGGAGCATCCACCCAAAGAGGATTCTTCCAAAGGGCCCAAGCCAAAGTAGGACAAGAAGAAAATTGGTCCTAAAGGAGGCGTCGCGAAGACTCTGGGAAATGCTACAACTATGGTATTACGGGCCATCGTTCTTCAGAGTGCCGCAAGAAGCCTCAGAAGAAGAAGCAGAAGAAGGAAGAAGCTCTTTGCTCGGAGCTAGATGCTATGGATCTTTGTGCAGTCGTGATAGAGGTCAACCTGGTCGGGTCTAACCCGAGTCGTGATAGAGGTCAACCTGGTCGGGTCTAACCCGAAAGAGTGGTGGGTTGACACCGGAGCCACTCGTCATATCTGCTCCAATCGGGCCATGTTCTTTGACTTTAAGGAGACTTCTGGCGACAAGGTGTGGATGGGCAACTCTGCCCTATCTGAGGTTCAAGGCGTGGGTAAAGTGAAGCTCAAGATGACATCCGGCAAGGAGCTCACCCTGAATGATGTGTTGTATGTGCCAGACATACAGAAAAACTTGGTGTCAGGCTCACTACTAAACAAACATGGATTCCGCATGGTATTCGAGTCTGATAAGCTAATCTTGAGCAAAAGGGAATATTCATAGGCAAAGGTTATATTACTGATGGGCTTTTTAAGCTTAATGTACTCACTGTTGTTGAGAAAATTAATAAAACTCATGTTGCCTATGTTTGTGAGTCTTTTAATGTGTGGCATTGAAGACTAGGACATGTTAATTATGCGTCTCTTCGGAAATTAATTAACATGGAATATATCCCTAAGTTTGATATCGATATGTTCGACAAATGTGAGACGTGTGTCGAAGCAAAATCAACACGAAGTTCGTTTCAAACAATTGAACGAACCACTCAGCCACTAGATTTAATTCACACGGATTTGTATGATTTCAAAGCAACGCCTTCAAGAGGTGGTAACAAATATGTCATAACTTTTGTCGATGATAGCACAAAATACTGCTATATTTATTTACTAAAAAGTAAAGATGAGGCGTTGGAAACTTTCGTTCGGTAAAAGAATGAAGTAGAAAATCAACTCAATCGTAAAATTAAAGCGATTAGGAGTGATAGGGGCGGGGAGTATGAAGCTCCATTCGCTGGATTGTGTGCACAACATGGAATTGTGCATCAAGTAACTCCGCCATACACACCCCAATCATATGGTGTGGCGGAACGTAAAAATCGCACTCTCAAAGATATGATGAATACGATGTTGCTCAGTTCGGGGCTACCCTAAAATATTTGGGGGGAGGCCATTTTATCTAGCAATTATTTGTTAAATAAAATACACCGAAAGAAACTCGATAAGACTCCTTACGAGTTGTGGTATAGTAGGAAACCCTCCTATAAATACCTGAAAGTGTGGGGGTGCCTTGCAAAAGTATTAGCACCACCACCAAAGAAAATAAAGATTGGTTCAAAGACCGTTGATGGAATCTTTATTGGCTACAGTGGTAGTGCATATCGATTCTTAGTGTATAGGTCTGATAATCCAGAAATACATAAGAACACGATAATGGAATCGAGGAATGCAACAATCTTTGAAAATATATTTCCATTAAAGTCGAGGGAAGAAGCAAGTTCGTCCAAACGTTCACATGATGAAATGTTGAACGACGACTCCTCGGATCAGTCTAATACCGGTATAATTGGTGAAACCGAAACTGAGACTGAACTAAGACGAAGTAAAAGGACACGGACTAAGAAGTCCTTTGGTAATGATTTTCTAACTTATTTGTTGGAATTTGAATCGGGGACTCTATCATTTCTGATAGAGACTGAACCCGATATTCTAACATGTTTATTAGAAAATGAACCACGAACTTATCGTGAAGCAGTGACTTCGTCTGAAGGCCCTCTGTGGAAAGAGGCAATTAAAAGTGAAGTTGATTCTATTATGCAGAATCACACTTGGGAGTTAGTGAATTTACCTCCTGGATGCAAACTGTTAGGTTCTAAGTGGATCTTTCGGATGAAAATGAAACCAGATGGTTCCATTGATAAGTACAAAGCCAGACTTGTAATTAAGGGTTGCAATCAACGTGAGGGCTTTGATTATTTTGATACATATGCCCCTGTGTCAAGGATAAATTCTATTAGAATGATACTTGCTATAGCTTCCTTGCGGAACTTAGAAGTACATCAAATGGATGTGAAAACAGCTTTCCTTAATGGAGATCTAGAAGAAGAGATCTACATGGAACAACCAGAAAGGTTTATAGTTCCTGGTCAAGAAAGGAAAGTATGTAAACTCGTTAAGTCATTATATGGTCTTAAACAGGCGCCAAAAGTATGGCATGAGAAGTTTGACCAGGTAATGATGAACTCTTGGTTCAAAATTAATGAACCAGACAAGTGTGTTTATCTAAAAAACACATCCCAAGGATGTGTCATGTTGTGTCTATATGTAGACGACATACTTATAGTTGGTAGCAATGACAAGATGGTCAAGTCTACCAAAGACATGTTAAACTCGCGATTTGACATGAAAGATATGGGTCTGGCTGAAGTAATTCTTAGAATTAAAATTGTGAGGAGACCTGGGGGTCTAGCACTGAGCCAATCCCATTATATTGATAAAATCCTTGACAAGTTCAACAAGGATGACGTTAGAGTAGCAAAGACGTCGTTGGACGTCAATGCACACTTGGCTAAAAATCGAGGTTCTAGTAACTCTCAAATTGAGTATGCGAGAGTTATTGGAAGTTTGATTTATCTAATGAGTTGCACTCGACCAGATTTAGCCTGTGCCATAAGTATGCTAAGTAAATACACCAGGAATCCGAGTGATGAGCACTTGAAGGCTATTGTATGTGTGATGAGATACCTGCGGTATACACGTGACTATGGATTATGCTACTCGAGATATCCACCGGTATTGGAAGGATACTCGGATGCGAATTGGATATCTGATAGTAAAGACTTGAAGTCCACAAGTGGATATGTCTTTACGCTAGCGGGTGCAGCAATATCTTGGAAATCCTCAAAGCAAACAGTGATTTCTAGGTCCACCATGGAGTCTGAGTTTATAGCTTTAGACAAATGTGGAGAGGAAGCTGAATGGCTACGCCACTTCCTAGAGGACATTCCAAGATGGGATAAACCGGTCCCACCAGTTTGCATCTATTGTGATTGTCAATCAGCAATAGGACGTGCAAAGAGTAATATGTATAATGGTAAGTCTAGACATATTCGTCGTAGACACAAAACCATTAGACAACTTCTCACAACTGGGATTATCACGATTGACTATGTGAAGTCAAAGGATAATCTGGCGGATCCGCTAACCAAAGGGTTAACAAATGAGTTGCATGAGAAGTTGGTGGCAGGAATGGGTTTAAAGCCCTTGTGCTAGGACAGTCCTATGAAGGAAAACCCAACCTAGCTGGTACCCAGGTTCAATGGGACAACCTACTTGTAGGATAAAGCGTGGTCACTGTGGGGGCGGTACCGGAACCTTCGGTCAGTCCCTTCTGTTCCTGCTGAAGACAGTGACTCCCAAAACTGATGAGGTTAGCATATAAATATGCTTTAATGATTCTTAACCTATAGACACGGTGGTCTAAGGGGAGTAATCGGGATACTGTTAAAGAATCACCTATGTAAGAGTGAAGTGTGGTCGCTTCAAACAGAGGATCTTGGGCTTAATCCTCTAAACACTCTCGCAGAACCAGGCGCGTGTCCCACGACCAAAATGGGCACAACCATGAGAACAGAATGACGTTTGGTTAGAATCTGTGTATAGTATACTATCATTTACACAAACGGCAATACAGTTCAAAAACATCGCGTTCTACTGAACAGCCAGTAAAGAAGGTATACTTTACAAGGGACATGTTCAAAAGTAGAGACGAGACACTTACCTGTTCTTTGCACGTTTTCAACCGTGGGATGTTGTCGACCTCCAAATCAATTTTTCATTCACGTGGGGGATTGTTGGAATTTTTGGCATTTTTTAATAGGCATTAAATGGACCAACTTGGGTATATTTGTCAATAGGTCCACTAACGGTTTTAACCGTTAATTAATGGACGTGTATTCTCTTAAATGAGATAAATATTTTGATAATTTATACGCCAAAAATGGTAGAGGGTAAATGAGAAATTGATTCTCAGATGAACTGTTGAGTAGAAGAAAATATTTATTATTTTCAAATTTCTACGACCTGTTTTACACGTTTGTTTTAATTAGTTCCAATTTCAGAGTTAACTGGCCATTAATCTCCAATTTATAGGAACAAAATTTAAACTAATGTGTATGCCAACAGTTGGTAACAATGAACATATATTATATAATCATTGTGATTATTAATGAGTGTCATTATGCCCATGATAAATAATTGGTCCGTTTCCATTCTTTAAAAATTGAAGACACATGTTAATTGTATTAAATGTGAAATGACTTTCAATCTTCTTGTTTTTGATATATACGTACAAGAAGAGGAAAAAGAGAGATTGCCTATAGTGATTAAAGTTTTTTTTTGTTTTCCCTCTTGGCTTTCACGAACAAGAAAGGAAGAAGGAGAAAAAAAACTTTGTGAGTACAAAAGCTCTAGTTTTTTTGCCAAAGTTTCAAGCCATCCTCTTCAACGTTTTTTTTAGTCGGCAATACTCCGACGTTGTTCTTGTTCGTTGGTGTGTAGTCGGTCCGTACAACCACTACACACGATAGCGGTTTTATCCTGGGAGGAAAGTGCCCACGTTCTCTAGTACGGTAGGCGGGCACTATTACCTTAAGTACAGCTCTGGCGACTCCGCTGCCTTTCTACAGTGTTCTATTTTGCAGATTTTGTTCTCGAGTTCTACGTCATAGTTCGCTGTTTTTTTAGTGCACAAAGTCCTAATTGTCAAAGACGGTCTTTGAAGATCGGAAGCTAATTTTATTTTATTTATTGTAATTAATCCGAATAAAATTATAAATTCAGATTATTTTATTTTCTTTTAGTTTCCGGGACCGTTCCTCTTTCCCATCTATTGTAATCTGTACGATCATTTCTAACAGTTGTGTGGCTACTAACTAAAGAAGAAAAAAAGGGGGAGAAAGAGATAAGGGAGCACAAAAGAAAAAGAAGTGAAGGGGAAGGAACTGGCAGTAGCAAAAAACGCAGGAAAAAGAAAGAAAAAACAGAATTCTCGCCACACTGTGCAGCAGCCCCGTTTTCAGCCAGGAATGAAGTCCAAACGAAGTCCGATCGTGCTCAAATTTTAGTATGTTATTGCTAACATACTCCTCTTCAAATCCAACGGTCAGATTCTCATTTTGATGCCCGCATGTCTGTTTTCTAGCTGCGTTTTCAGGCCTGCGTTTTTGGAAGTTTTTACTCCGTTTTATGGTGAATTGTTGATTGTTGTTGTTCCAAGGTCGCTCCTTGATGATTGTGTATGCCTCTAGTGTTTACTAGAGAGGAGAACTTGTTGTACCCACTTGGTTCTTGGTGATTAGTGGAAGTTTGGGTGCCGTTGTTGAGCGTCCATGGTTTTCTCCCCGATTTGGGGTTTCCACGTAAATCGTGTGTTCTTTATTTTATTTCCGTTGCTATTTATTTGTGGTGGTGCTGCTGTTTTTTTGGAGTATATTGTGCTTGTTATTCATCTCCTTAATTTGGGGAATAGATTTTATACGCTTCCGTTATTTATTGGTTGGCTTCTTGTGTTGTTTATGATGGATGACAAAGTAATTGTTCAAGGAATGCTTAGTTTGGACTCTACGAATTATTCAATTTGGAAAATTCGTATTGAAGATTATTTATGCTCTAAAGACTTGCTTGACCCAATTTTGTATAAAGAACGTCCAACAGGTGTTGATGAGAAAGCTTGGACTACCTTGAACCGGATAGCTATTGCATCAATCAGACAATATGTTTCTTTAAGTGTGTTGCAACATGTTGCTAATGAAACTAATGCTTTTGAGATGTGGAAGAAACTTGAATCCATGTACGAGAGGAACAATGCTATGGGAAAAGCTTCTTTGATTAGAAAGCTTGTTAAATTGCAATACAAAGATGGTGATAGCATTGTAGTTCACATGAACGAGTTTCAAGGTGTGGTAAACCAACTAGCCGGAATGAAGATGAAGTTGGAGGATGAACTTCAAGCTTTGTTGTTGCTTTCCTCATTGCCCGACAGTTGGGATACATTGGTGGTTTCACTTAGCAACTCTGCTCCAGATGGCAAGATGACTATGGAGATGGTCAAGGCTAGTCTTTTGAATGAAGAGGCTAGGAGGAAAGAATTAAGTTACCCTAGCCAAGCCGAAGCAAATGTGATACCAGACTCTAGCACGGGGAGAAGCAAGAGCAGAAATCCTCACCACAGAGACAAGTCTAGGGGGAGATCCAAATACAGAAAAAGGGATTTCATTTGCCATTATTATCAGAAGCCGGGTCACATTGAGAGATTCTGCAGAAAGAAGAAGAGAGATATGTCCAGGGAGAGAAAAGATAAAAATGAGAATTCCGAGCAGAAGCCAGAAGAGAAGAACACTATAGCCTTGGCATCTAGTGATGATGATTTATTTATTATCGGTGATCATGGACTATTAAATGTAGCCTGTGATGACTGCACCTGGGTGATTGATTCTGGTGCATCTTATCATATTATTTCACACAGGGAGTACTTCTCACCCTATAATAGTGGTGACTTTGGCCACGTGAGGATGGGAAATGATGGTTCGTCTAAGATCATCGGTATGGGTGATGTTTGTTTAGAGACTTCCACTGATTGCAGGTTGGTGCTCAGGGATGTGAGGCATGTCCCCGATATCAGATTGAGTTTGATTTCAGCTGGTGTGCTTGATGATGAAGGTTATGCCAACAACTTTTGTGATGGAAGATGGAAACTCTCCAGTGGCAGCTTGATTATGGCTCGAGGTAAGAAGCAGAATTCACTTTATGTTATGCAAGCCAGAGTAAGTAGCGGAGATGCCAATGTAGGAGATGATGCCTCCGGTGATTTGTGGCATAAGAAGCTTGGCCACATGAGTCAAAAGGGCATACAGATCCTTTCCATGAAAGATTATCTCCCCGACATTTCAGGTATGCCTTTAAACTCTTGTGTTGATTGTTTGGCTGGAAAACAACATAGAGTTGCATTTCATACTCGTCCCCCACATAGAAGAAAGCATGTTTTAGATCTTGTTCATACTGATGTTTGCTCTATGGATGCTAGATCACACCGTGGTGCACAAAATTTTGTGACTTTTATGGATGATTTTTCTAGAAAAGTGTGGGCTTTTGTTTTGAAACATAAAGATCAGGTACTTGAAGCTTTTAAGGAGTTTCATGCCAGAGTTGAAAGAGAAAGTGGCAGAAAGCTCAAGTGTGTCAGATCAGACAATGGTGGTGAGTACAGGGGTCCATTTGAGTACTATTGCAAAAGTCAAGGCATCAAGCTTGAGAAGACAGTTCCAAAGACACCTCAGCTTAATGGAGTTGCAGAAAGAATGAACAGAACAATTGAAGAGAGAATCAGGTGTATGCTATCTCATGCTAAGCTGCCAAAGTCCTTTTGGGCGGAGGCAATGTTCACTGCAGTGTACCTGATTAACCTTTCCCCTTCAGTTCCTCTTGAAGGTGATGTTCCTCATAGAGTTTGGTCAGGGAAAGATGTCTCCTATAAGCATTTGAGAGTCTTTGGTTTCAGAGCGTTTGTTCATATTCCCAGGGATGAGAGATCTAAGCTTGATAAGAAGACGAAAGAGTGCATATTTTTGGGGTATTCAGAGGACGAGTTTGGATACAGACTATGGGATCCACGTGATAGGAAAGTGATCAGAAGCAGAGATGTGGTTTTCTTTGAAGATCAGGCTATTGAAGATTGTGAGAAGAAGCAGGCAAATCCTTCTCCATGCATCACAGTTGATCCAGTTCCATCTCTTCCTCATGCTGTAGTCCCTCAAGATCATGGGGGAGATACGCATGATCATACAGTTGAGTCCCCTGCAGATGACCATCATGATGATGATAATCATGATGATGGTGGTGATGGTGTTCCAGAGTCACAAACACACTCAGAGCCGCCTCCAGCACCTCAGTTGAGAAGATCCACCAGAGTCAGAAAACCTTCCACGATACTTTTGGAGGATGATTTTGTGTTAGTCACTGATGGAGGAGAGCCAGAGACATATGATGAGGCTATGTCACATGTGCACCGCGAGAAGTGGTACGATGCCATTCAAGATGAGATGACGTCCTTTCATGAGAACCACACATATGAACTTGTAGTGTTGCCTAAAGGCCAGAGAGCACTCAAGAACAAGTGGGTATACAGACTGAAGTATGATGAGAGTAGCTCACAACCAAGGTACAAGGCAAGATTGGTTGTGAAGGGTTTCAGTCAGAAGAAGGGCATAGATTTTGATGAGATATTTTCTCCCGTTGTGAAGATTACCTCTATTCGAGTTATACTTGGCTTAGCTGCGTACATGGATTTGGAGATTGAGCAACTTGATGTGAAGACAAAATTTCTTCATGGTGACCTTGATAAGGAAATCTACATGGAACAACCTGAGGGCTTTCAAGTTAAAGGAAAGGAGAACTTAGTTTGTCGTTTGGAGAAAAGTTTGTATGGTTTGAAGCAAGCACCTCGGCAGTGGTATAAGAAGTTTGAGTCTTTTATGGTTGATCATGGCTTCCACAAAACACACGCTGATCATTGTGTGTTTGTGAAGAATTACTCAGAAGGTGACTTTCTTATTCTCCTTTTATATGTAGGTGATATGTTGATTGTTGGCCAGGACACCAAGAAGATTGCTAGCTTGAAGAAGTCATTGAGTAAGTCCTTTGCTATGAAGGACTTAGGCCCTGCAAAAGAGATTTTAGCCATGAGGATCACGCGAGATAGAAAGAACAAGAAACTTTGGCTATCCCAAGAGAGATACATTGAAAAGGTGCTTGGTAGATTCAACATGAGCAATGCTAAACACGTGAGCTCTCCACTTGCAGGCCACATGAAGTTCAGTATGGACCATTGCCCTACAAGTTAGAAAGAAAAGCAAGAGATGAACAAGGTGCCTTATGCTTCAGCCGTGGGTAGTTTGATGTATGCCATGGTATGTACGAGGCCAGATATTGCACATTCAGTTGGGGTTGTTAGCCGCTACATGTCAAATCCGGGTAAAGAGCACTGGGCAGCCGTGAAATGGATTCTCAGATATCTTAGAGGTACCTCGAGAGTTTGTTTATGTTTTGGTATTGGACAGCCTGTGTTAGATGGGTACACAGATGCAGATATGTCTGGAGATGTTGATACTGAAAAGTCTACCTCAGGATACTTGATGACATTTGCTAGAGCTGCAGTTTCATGGCAATCAATATTGCAAAAGTGTGTTGCTTTGTCCACTACTGAGGCAGAGTATATAGCAGCTGTTGAGGCAGGCAAGGAGTTGTTATGGATGAGGAATTTTCTTGAGGAGCTTGGTTTGGAACAAGAAAATTATCTTCTTCATTGTCTCAAAGTTCCATCCACCTTGCCAAGAATGCCGCATTTCATTCTCGAACCAAACACATTAAGAGAAGATATCATTGGATTCGAGAAGCCGTGGAGGACAAGTCTTTTGAACTTGTGAAGATTCACACAAGTGAGAATTGCTCGAATTTGTTGACCAAGACATTGCCGAAGGAGAAACTCGTGTTTTGTCGAGAGAAGGCCGGTTTGTTTGCTCACTCCAGTAGCAAAAAAACGCAGGAAAAAAAGAAAAAACAGAATTCTCGCCACACTGTGCAGCAGCCCCGTTTTCAGCCCGAATCGAAATCCAAACGAAGTCCGATCGTGCTCAAATTTTAGTATGTTGTTCCTCACATACTCCTCTTCAAATCCAACGGTCAGATTCTCATTTTGATGCCCGGAAGTCTGTTTTCTAGCTGCGTTTCCAGGCCTGCGTTTTTGGGAGTTTTTACTCCATTTTATGGTGAATTGTTGATTGTTGTTGTTTCAAGGTTGCTCCTTGATGATTGTGTATGCCTCTAGTGTTTACTAGAGAGGAGAACTTGTTGTACCCACTTGGTTCTTGGTGATTAGTGGAAGTTTGGGTGCCGTTGTTGAGCGGCCGTGGTTTTCTCCCCGATTTGGGGTTTCCACGTAAATTGTGTGTTCTTTACTGTATTTCCATTGCTATTTATTAGTGGTGGTGCTGCTATTTTTTTGGAGTATGTTGTGCTTTTTATTCATCTCATTAATTTGGGAAAAAGATTTTATACGCTTCCGTTGTGTTTTGTTCCGTGCTTCCCCAACAAGGTTGTGTCCTATACCAAAATAGTTACACCTCACTGGATTATACTTAAGTGCATTAATACGTACCAACTGGATTTTTAAATGCGCAGGAATGATGTAATGGAGGATAGATTTAGTGTGTTGATAATGTTGGTGAATCAATTAGCTGCAGATGGATTCTATTGTAATTATACAATGGTAGAAGATTTAAGCAGACAGATGTATTGATTACTCTTAAAGAGTTACTTTGCTCTATCAATTTGTGTTGTATTAATATTCATGCTATTTTGACTACCTGGCGAGAGGTTTGCCACATTTATTTTACTCAATAAGTGTAATGCACACCTCCGCTGGGTTATACTGAATTGCCCACTTGTCCAGTTTGTCTTGGTTAGTAGATTTGGATTTTGCTATTAATATGTAAACCCTGATGAGTTTGTTTAGTAATACTCAATTCTCATTGCAATCTAAACTTACAGAAAGACTGGACCAAGAGACAAGTGGTATACAGACTACATTTTGCGACCAATCATTTCAATGTTCTTGTGTTTCAAAATCCAGCAGGTATTAGTGCACCTAATATTCACTTATAAAACCCCTCACTTTTTAAAATCATTTTATTCTTATACCAAACTATTTTTCCGGGGGAGAAAGACCAAAGTAGGACTAAAACTTTGAAAATATACCAAAATAGGACTTTCGATGTTTTTATTCTCGAAATAGGACTTACATTACAAACCATGATCATATACATTACCAAAAAACATAGAAATTTGCACATGTACACTGCCACATTACCACAATGCAAGGTCACGTTACCACAGTGCAAAATCCTATTCGGGGAAAAAAACATGAGAGTCCTATTTTGGTACTTTTATCTACTCCCTCCGTCCCCAATTTGATTACAAATTGCGGGTCACGGAGTAAAATTTCCTACTTTTTGAAATCATTTTATTTACAAATTGGTATATCAATAAGTTATAAAAATTACATATTAAAAAACTACGTCAAAAGTTCTACAAAACAAGAGGTGACAATAATATTTTATTTTATCAAATACTTCATGAAATCGCGTAAACAAACAAAATTTATCGAGAGGAGAGAGAAAAAAAGATTGTAATCTATTTAGGGACGGAGGGAGTATGTTTTAGTCCTATTTAGGATAATTTCTATTTTTCCGGGCAATGCTAACTACACTTCACTATTGTTATTGAACACGAGCAGATTCATCCACATTTATATGAGGCATTAATGGAGGTGCAATAGATGCTAAAATAGGCATATAAATTCCGGGATACCAAATTGAAGAGCCTCTTGTTGCTGGAAGAACATGTTGTCTTTTGCTGTGAAAAACAACAATCAAGCTGTCTGTTATGGGGAATATCACCTCCTGCTCCTTCATTGAACTTGTCCCTTCAATAACAGGTTCAACCAACTCCATGGAGTGGGAGATTATATGCTCTAGGTGGCTGTCTCCAACAATTGGTTCTTGATTCACAACGTGGCAGGTGGGAGATTCAAGTTCAATCCACGAAGATTCTCAAGGTTTGGATTCCTCACTTGTTCCTCTATAGGAGTAAGATGGATTGAAGAGGCAGGCATGTAGAATATGCAAATTGTAAGGAAGATGATGTAAATATTAAATTATTAGATGTTAATAATAATTTAAATGTATGAATTTATATATTGTTCAATATATTGTATTTTTCGAATTTATATTTATTTCGTAATCAACATAAGATTACAGATGTCTAAAAAAATTCAACTACCACTCAAACAAATAGTTTGAAAAGTATATGTACAACTACACAAACCCGTAGTGTTAATAACATTTAGACAATCAAAAAAAATAGTTGTTTGAAATACTACAAAAATAGTAGTTCATAATTTTAAAATGCAACGTAAAATAATAGTTGTCTGAAGCAAATTTCTCTAGTAATCTTTAGAGTAGCTGTCTGATAAAATATTCAACTACTGTCATAAAAAATAGTTTGAATACTTCAAGGAAAACTTCAAAACACTATTGTGTTAATAATCAATATACAATTAAAACAAGTAGTAGTTTGAATACGAATAATGTTAGTAGTCCATATTCTAGAAATACAATAAAAGATAACAGTTGTCTGATGCTATTTTCGTTCAGTAGTCTTCCGAGCGGCAGTCTGATATATCTTTCAATTACTTTTTAAAGTAGATGTCTATATTTTTTAACGACAACACCAAGAATTAAGAGTCTGAAGTTAAAAAAAATAGTAGTATTCATTATAGATAGGCAACAAAAAATCATAGTTCTCTTTAACTCTAAAAAACAGATGTCTTACATATACAAGGACAACAATAAAAAGTCGTACTCTAAAACATTACAAAACAAGTGTCATCAACCATTTTACACAATTGTTTTTAAACAATAGTCTGTAAATATATCATACAGCTGCTTGGAAGACTACTGAAATCAGCACCGTGAGACTACCAAAAGAAACAGTTGTCAGCATCTGTTTTTGACGTAGTGATCATTATGGCTAGTATGACCGCGGAGCTCCAAAGGCTCCATGCAGACATGGAAGTGCGTGCTATGATACAACGCATGAGAGACCTTTACCACGGTCAGCCCCAAAACTTAGGTATCTACGTTATCAAAGTCAACATGTCTGATTTCGCCTCTTGGGTGATGGATACCGGATGTGGTTCTCACATCTGTACTTCTATGCAGAATCTGCATGAAACAAGACATTTGGCTGAAGGAGAAGTCCAGCTTAACATCGGAAATGGAGCACTTGTCGATGCGCTGGCTGTAGGAACTTTTGTTCTATCTCTCCCTAGTGGCTTGTTGTTGTGTAACGACCCTAAACCCGGCTTAGTAGTTAGCCGTCATTTTAATAAAAATAAATACAATATTTATTTACTCTAAAATATGAATTATTTGTAAAGTTATCCATTTTATATGAAAATTGGGTTTTCAGGTAGATCTCGTAAAATGGAGTGGGTAGGATTATATACCCACACCCGTAAACCCCTTTTCCCTAAATACATACGGAGTATATATATATATATATATATATATATATATATATATATATATTGTTAGACAAATGTGCAACTCTAGAGGGGGGGTGAATAGAGTTGTTTTCAAGAATGTGCGTTTTTCGCGTGTGTGAAAAAAAATTGCAAGAATAAGTAAGGAGAGTAAGGGAAAGAAAAACACCGGGATTTATACTGGTTCACCACCTCGTGGCTAGTCCAATCCTCCGAGAGACTCTCTCGAAAGTCCTACTAATCTTCAAGCTTCAACGGGTGCTTGAAAAACCGGTACAACTTGAGAACTTGAGTCACACAAGCCTCACTTTCTTACAACAACAAGACTTGAGTCACACAAGTCTTATGAACAACACTCAAATGAGATTGAGTTTACAACACAAGAATGAAAGCTCACACAATTGAGCAAGTAGTGTTTGAAGAATTAAAGCTCTATGGATGACAACTTCTTTAGCACTCAAAGAAAATATTTCTAACTTTCAAAAATAATGTTTTGATGAGAAAGATGAATCAAAGGATAACAATGGCTCAATGAGTATTTGGAGTGCAAGAGAGAAGTATGGAGAAGAAGGAGAATGAGGGATTAAATAGGCTGAGTGAAAATAAATCCGTTGGAGCAGGCTGAGAATATGCACCAGATAAAATTAATCGATTAAAGTAAAAGTTTAAATCGATTACGGTACACAGAAGCGAAATAGCCTGAAAAGAAAACTGAATCATAATCGATTAAATGAAGACAAATAATCGATTAGGAGGCTCGGTACGAACTAATCGATTAAATAAGAAGAAATAATCGATTATTGATAAAAAATGAGCAGCCCAGCGAACAACTCATAAATCGATTAAGGTGAAGCAATAAATCGATTAGGAGGTTCGGTACGCACTAATCGATTTTCTTAGAAGATATAATCGATTAAGAGTTGAAACCTGAGAAATTGCGCTGGATGTAATCGATTATCTTAAATGATATAATCGATTAAAATGAAAATAATGCGCAAACACAAAGGGCCCAAGCCACAATTTGGCTTCTAACTCGTTGTTTGGGACAACGAGAATACAAGGGACCCTCCTCGGATAATATCTCCTATTCAATGAATTTTGAGTAGGGGAGAGAAAAAGAGTCCAAAAATTATTTTGTGTGTCAAACAATACACGAAAAATATTTAAAGTATATTTTTCTTACCATAAAAAATTTGTATATCCTTAAAATGTTTTTAAGAACTTTTGACACACTATTTTGAAACTGACTTGGTAAAATATTTTTAGAGAAAAAAAATAAATTTTCAACTGACTCAAAAAAAATAATAATTTTTTTTATCCCTCAAGATTAATTTGTTTATGCAAAAGTTATTGTCATCCTTACAAGAGTTCCTAGACTCAATAAAAATAAAAAGTCTTCGGAGTCTTCACTTCACTTCAAAAATCTGTGTAGGGGTGAGCGTTGAATTATATCCCGTAACTTTCTTGATACGTCTCTTTGCTTTTCTCGATACGAAAAATAAATTTTCGATTATCGTTTGAATTTCATCATCCTGTTTGTCATTTATCAAAACAAAAAAAATATTCCAAATAATAAAGGGGTTTGAACTCATGTCCAACAATTTCCCCCTTTTTGATAATGACAAACATAGTTGAGAAAAAGTAAAGTAAGAGTTCAAGAAATACTTCCCTTCATTAATTCCCCCTGCAAGATTAGAGAAGTGCAGAAAAAGAATGATCGGAGTAATAAGCGGAAAACAAGTTTTCTCAACTATCCTTCCTTCCCCCTTTTGGCATTATCAATAGATATCCTTCCCCCTTAATCAATGCTGGGATTTTGAAGGATAGTAAAAAAAAATTTTTGCAAGAGTTTTCTTTTAAAAAAAACTTCTAATAGCCACAAAACCAAATTGTCAAACCAACAAACAATGCATAATTAGCAACATCATCATCCACCAAAAGAGTTATAACAACAATAGCAAATAGCAATGTATCATAATAAGTTAAGATAGAAGGGAAAAAAAATCAAAGAGAGTTCGCCGGACGAGCTCCTCCGCTGAAGCTGTGACGCGAGCCACGGTAGGAGCGGGAATGCTCGAAACGAATCATCCTCTCGTTGAGCTGGCGAACGTCGTCTCGAATGCATGTGAGAGTATCAAAGATTCTCTTCACCCAAGAAGGTTCTGGTGCTTCTTCTCTCGGACGAGTCTTGCATTGACGAGTGACGCGATTCGTGGTTCGACTTCCTCCGGCTTGAGATGACTCAGCTTGAGTCTCGCTTTGGCTCTCTTCTTCTTCTGCGACTATCAGGTCCAGATTTGGTGCAGCATCGCCCTCCTCACGGTATACGATCTGGAGAAACTTGGCTTCAGTGATGAAACAAGTCTTCTTAACCGGCACCTGAGTGTCCCGAGTAAAATCCACTTTGCTACGAGCAAGGATATGCATGATCGGGATGGCAAAACGGAGATGGGAAAAGCGAGTACCATCACTAAGTGCAACGACAAAGAAGTGAACCCAATCAAATTCGACATTGTTCAACAGGACGTGAAACAAACGAATATCATCCTTGTTAACAACGCCATGGTTCGAATCACGAGGCAACAAAACATAGGAAAAGATGTATGGTTGAACACGTTGAATCAAAGTGAGGTTGATGACACTCGGGTTGCTAGAGTTTCTAAACTTGAGGTCACGAGAATCTAACCCGAGTAGTCGCCAAATTTTCTTATCTTGGAATGTTTCATCCAAGTTTTCAGTAATTTCACCTTTGCGAAGGCCAAAGAGAGAGGTCAAACCGGCACTATCAATTTCAATGCATTTGCTGTCAACATAGGAAACGAGAGATGGCGAGTCTCCCTTAGTGGTACGAAGATTTGCATAAAATGACGTATAAGATTTGGACCAAAGAATTCATACGTCAAATGAATGAAACGAAGCAAACCTTGCTGAGGAAAAAGAGACTTACTCGGGGCATAGGTTGCCGATTTGAAGAGGTCCTTGTCCCCAATCTTTGGTGAGACGATTTCCTTTGTCAGAAAGATGTTGTGGAACCTCTCGGCTGAAGCCCCAGTGTTGAAGGCTAGTCCGGTTTGTATGTGGAAGTACTTGCCCCCTTCACGACGCCATGGCCTCTCACCCTCTTCTGCCGCCGTTTCTTGACGCGATGAAGCGTTCTTGCACCTTGGCATTCTTCCTCTTTGAAATTGATGAAATTTGGTGAAAAGATTGAAGGAGTTTGTGAAGAAGAGAGAAGAAGGAGACCTAGGGTTTCGTCGCCTCTGTCTGATTTTCTGAGAGAAGTGGCGAGGAAGACGAAGCCAGGTCGATTTATTAAACCAAAAATTCGAATAATAATCGATTAATCAGAGTGATTTAATCGATTAAGGTTGAGGCAGAACCAAAGGAATTTGCGCTGAAGCTTAATAATCGATTAAACAAGGGCTAATAATCGATTCGTTTGGACAGATGCGCCTAATCGATTGCTCTTTGAGGAGTAATCGATTAATATGATTGAAGCGCGAAATTAATCGATTGAAAAAGAGGCTGTTAATCGATTGAGCTTGACAGAGGCAGCTAATCGATTCCTCTTTGAGGAGTAATCGATTAAAACAAATTTGATAGAAAAAAAACATCAGGTCCAAATGAGTTTGATGCCAAAGGCCAAGATACCTGAAAGGCCCTGCAAAAAAGAAGTTATAGCGCCTCCGACGCTCAAATTAGTATAATCAATAACAAGAATGAATTAGTTCATAGAGATATCCAAAATGCCAAGTTCGTTCCGAATGTGGAAGAAACTCTCCCTACTAAGGGGTTCGTGAAAATGTCGGCCAATTGATGTTTCGTTTCAACAAACTCAATTGTGACATCTCCCTTTTGGACGTGATCTCGTATGAAGTGATGCCTAATTTCTATGTGTTTAGTCCTCGAGTGAAGAACTGGGTTCTTCGTTAGACTAATGGCGCTCATATTGTCACACCTAATTGGGATGTGATCAAGTATGAGGCCGAAATCCACTAGTTGCTGTTTTAGCCAAAGAATTTGGGCACAGCAGCTTCCCGCAGCGACATATTCCGCTTCGGTGGTGGAAAGTGCAACACTAACCTGTTTCTTACTAAACCACGAGATTAACGAATGACCGAATAAGTGGCAAGTACCGCTGGTACTTTTCCTATCGAGTTTGCAACCTGCAAAATCCGAGTCGGAATAGCCAACAAGATGACATGTCGAACCTTTGGGATACCAAAGACCTACGTTCAACGTGCCCGCGAGATATCGCATTATCCTTTTGATCGCAACCAAGTGCGACTCTTTAGGACA